TACAAGTCGCTAGTGGAGGCAGAACCTGTTAGTTCACAATTATCTTGATTTCCTGTTTATTTTTCTATACTGTCCTACTTGCTTGATTTTCATTTAGTACATGTTATTAGTTTATAGTTTCAATGATTTTATCGACTTATTTGGTTATTTTGGTTATATACCGTCAGCATGAATATAGTTCAATTGATTTATGAATGTGATATAAGATATTGGTATGCGTTGTTGGTTGTTTAGTGATGAAAATTTATATGTGAAAGACTTACTGGATACCCAAGAAAAAGGCGGACGGGTCCGATACATAGAAAACTCTACTGTGAATGTTATCTTAATCGGACGGGGCCGGGAAGTCCCTTACTAGAAAGATTTGGGAGATATGATTCACCTTCATACCGGACGGAGTATCGAGGCGATGGAATGTTTGATGTCCATTATTGGACGCGGTATAGGGATGGCCGATTAATTGTTAAAATTAGTTATTAGGTTCACGAGTAGGGGGAAACACCCCTATGGACCCCCATGGGTACCAGTAAGTAGGTAAGGAAGGAAATTTATTGTTTCTTGTACTCTTATGTGTGAAAGTGAAGAGTGATATGGATACGAGTCTTTATAGATTATTTTGGAAAATTGTTTACTGTAAGTTCGGAATAAATGATCTTCTTTATATTAAATGAATTTACTCAAATTAAGTGTTCAATTAGTTGTTTTATGATTTTTACCAATCTTCAGTTTTCGTATTTGTGAATAGCGTGATATTCTTACTAGGCTAGTGTAGCTCACTCTTTCATGAACTATTTTATATCAAGAGGAACAAGATCCAGATCTCGATCAGTAAGAGGGTTGTGAGTAGTTCACTATTCAGACTCCCTTCAAGTGCTAGTGAAGGTTGTCCTAGGATGTTTACTTATTCGTTTTTTGTTTTATTTCTTTAATTTCCTTTTATCTTTTAGAAAGGACATTCCTATAATTCTATTAAGTATTCTAAATTATTATGTAAGAAATGTAAACCCTAATTCTATTAATCGTTTCTGCATTAAATTTATGAATTTTTTTTTTAAGTTTTGGATCTTTACAGTTTGTATCAGAGCCGTGTTCCTTGTAACCATTCTTTGCATAAGACTTAAAAAAAAAAACACCAAATACAAACTAACACTCAACTTATCCTTGTGAAATGCAGGTACAAGGAACTTAGGAGAGGAAGACCCCACTAAATCGAAAAACCCGGGATGGTTCACTTCGATAGAATATTGACCGACTCTTTGAGATGCTGAAGAGACTCATCTCTGCCTAGTAGGTCCGGGAGGAAAGGAGGGAGCTGCCTGATCCTCCCCCACTGCCACAATTTGAGCCACCCTTGCAGCGAGAAGACTGGAGCCACCTCAGTACAACCTTGCTCCTCCACCATACCATCCGACACTGCCACAGTATAATCCGGTGCCTCTACTGCATCATTTAATACCGCCACGGTACAACCCATTACCTCTATTGTACCATCTGATATCGCTACAAGGCCATCCGGTCCCTCCCCAGCACAATCCAGTTCATCTTCTACGGTACTTAGTTCCACCCATAATGTACCCATGCTACATTAAAAGGTACAAAAGACTAAACTCATCTACTTTTGCAGATGCATCCTCTTTTGAAGAGGTTGAGTATTGGTTGGCTGAGACAGAGAAAACCTTTACGACTCTTAAGCTAGTTCCCAAACAAAAGGTTGTACTTGCCACCTACATACTTGTAGGAGAAGCAGGCCACTAGTGAAAGCTCAAGCAGGCGACCCTGCCCGGTCCAGTCACTTGGGAACAGTTCCTGATGGCCTTTAATGCTGAGTACCTCCCAAAGCACCTCCGACGTTTGCAGGAGATGGAGTTTGCACATCTAATACAGGGTGAGATGACTGCGTCAGAGTATACTCGAAGGTTCTTAGAGTTGGGCTGATATTCCCCTGAGAGGATGATGGATGAGGGCAGGAAGGCAAGAAAGTTCTAATGGAGCCTCCACCCTGAGATCAGATAGCAGTTGTACATATTTGAGCTTAGCACCTACTCAGTCGTTCTGGCCAAGGCACAACTTGTAAAGAGGAACCTTGCATCTTTCCTCTAGCAGCGAGGAATCCCAGACCCCCGGTTTCACACTGCAGACCAGCACCCATTGCTCCAGTTCAGCAGAA